GAAACAATAATTTTCGTATTTCTTCAATTTATCAATCAAAATCAGCCGAAACCCAAACAAAATTGGTATGACTGAATAGGTATTTTCAATACCTTTCAAACGAGCTGTCACTTGCCATAGGGTCCCATTTAAAATTTTTGGTCACAGTGGCCTTGTGACGTCATTTATGACTATTGCGTCACCTTTTATGACCAGTTAAGAAGCCTACATCCGTTTATTTCCACCCTCCAAATTTCATTATTAGAAGTATACCCGTTCAAAAGATACGAGGGTGGGAGGGGACTTTTGACTAGCACTGTATAATCCAACGCCCTTCGTGATATTAGCTAGAGGAGTAGTTGTTTTCTGATAGGTGTCAGTCCATTAACCTACAGTGTAGGGAGTTGAGACTGACCTGAACAAATTGTTCCTTCAGATGATTTGATTTATAGCCAGTCTTCTAGAATGCCCACTGACTATATGCTAAGTTCTTTTTCTTATACGAGGAATTGGGCAAATTTTGGAAATGCGGTTGGTTACCTCGTTCACAGGCAGATGGAGCGATGACAAATCTAATGTTTGTCATCCGCTTCAGCCCAGTTCGAGGAATGATCCTCTGAAGGAATTCGATTTTCAATTATTGGAAATCATCGACTTTATGTTGATGATAGATACTATCTTGCACTGACGAGTGGCCAAACAGCCCGAAACCGGTCTGCCAGTGTGTTTCAATAATTGAAAATCTATTGCGGCAGTTATATCGCCAACAGCATATTCATGAATAACTTCAGTGAAGAATCCTGCACTGACATCTGTCGGATATAATCCAACGTCCTTAGTGGTATTAGCCAGGAGAGCAGTTGTCAGTCAGTCAAATTGTTGCTTCAGATTTTATGTTCACAAACTGACATTTATGAGATTTTCAATTGAAAAATACATATTTCAGCAGTGATCCAACAAGTTAATATTCATTTGACTTTTTTCTTGAATGCACTTGAATTCAATGTCATGTCGTCATTCAATTACATTTTGTGAATGGCATGTTATGAGAGGTTGGACCACAACCTGTAAGAATTTTGTATATTTGCAACTCTATCTGAGTTTCTAGTACCTATGATTGCGGTTTTGGAGTGAGAAAGCAGGAAAGCAGATTTTGTGTTGAAGTCCATCTGGTAATGATATCCACCTAATTAACGATTTACTTTGTTGAATGCCAAATGTGAAGAGAAATATCAAAATATTTCTGTTCACTTCTTCCATCTGCTCAGTCATGTTCTAATGTTGAAACAAAACATATTTCAGGGAACAGTTTTCCTAGAAATGATTTGAGAAATCACTTCCTTCAGATAAGTGGCCGTATCCCATATCAGAGCAATTAAAAATTTATGTTCACCTTAGCAATTGTATTTTCTGTAACATATTTCGTATAAAAACGTACCGTTCAGTGCTCGCAGTGACATTTCATCTCCTCCATAATCTTCTGGTAATATCCGGTGTGGTACGAAGTTGTGGATTGATTCTACTTTCTTGTGGAAATGAAACTGAAATAAATCACAGATGAAATGATTCCAATTGACTTTTCCAGATGAACTCCACTATCGTATTCGAAGAAGTATATTTATCTTTGTATATTTCATATCGAACAAATGAAATTATGATATCACTCGAAGTGAACAACTCGATTGATTGCTTGCCAATATGTCTTTGTACAACTCTGGATTTTTTTCAACTCACCCTATTTGCCATTTTGGGCTTCATCATTTTTTTTTGCCAAAGATACAATAGGTTCAAGATATGACGGGGCGTTGATGAGATGTATTTGTTTTGTGTTATTGTTGAAGGTGTCCTAAAAATGATAATGATTATTTCAAAAAGAAAGATGTTGAGATTTCATGGTGTGAGTAGGTAGAAGAGATTTTTTTCAATTTCTCAGTCCTGATTGATATGTTATTCATAACTAGAATTCAACTGGCGAACGATTCATTCCTAATTTTCAGATTGATTTTCTTCTGACTATTCTGAATTTCTATTTGTTATGAATTTCTACCCGAAACTATTGATGTGTCCGTGAAGTGAAAATACTTTCGAATGAAACTACCTGAACAGTGAGCTTGCCCGTTGACTTCAATAGTGTATAGTATATGAACTGTTCTGAATGTGAGAAGATAGCACCAATATATTACTCATAATTAGGAAAAAGTAAAACAGGTCATTTATATTGAAGATGAATTTTGCATGTCCAACGTCACATATTCCAGTGAAATGAAAACGTGTCAGTTTTTGTCTATTCAATTTTCAAATAACTGAATAGTTTGCTGACTAATTCCACTACGGTCGTGAATATGAAGTTTGTTGAGAATGACTGACGGAGATAAACCTGTAAAAGATCTTACGTCTTCAGAATTATGCAGGCTGATTTGAACTATAAACTCAGCACAAACTGACGAAATAAAAACAGAAATGAACTGGAGTCGCCAACGATATCTGGATCTCAGTGTCACTATTTTTGGAGTTTGGAGGCTGTCGATTTTTCAAACTTCTTCCTGACGTTTTGCAGGCGCGAGTAGCTAGGTTGAGTTCTACCCAGCACGTGGCGAATCATATGGCCTCGCTCACACATCCTAATGTGATAGAAATGAACTTCTACGTCAAGAATTAGACAAACTTCGTTAATAAAATTAGAAACTCAACTCTGGAGCCAATAGATATTCTGGTCAACTTCGATGTTGTGTCTTTGTTCACCAATGTCCCACTGGAAGACTTTCTGAGAGAGCTAGCCTACTTTTTTTCGGATGATATCGTCGGAATCTCACAGGAAGTTTCTTTCATTGGAGGGATAATTTCTATGAGCAACTAGATAGCGTGGCGCTGGAAAGTCCGCTTAGCCTAGTGATAGTCAACTGATTTACGAAACATTTTGAAGATAAAGCAATTAGCACCTTTGAACTAAAACCGACCTTTTGGCTACGTTACGTGGATAACACTTTCGTTATCTGAAAGCATGGAAGGATCACTCCAAACTTTTTCCTGGACCACTTGGACGCTCAAAACCCAAGTTCAGAATGGTGACCGGACAGAATCAGCGGTCAGCATTCCTAGATGTACTCATCGAACGATGTACTGCTAGACTTACCCAATAAACAAGGTGTACCGAAAACCCACGCATACGGATAGATACCTGCACGAAATATCGATCAAAAGAGAGAAGTCATCTCTACTTTTACTGAACAGGCTCGAAAAATATGTGAATCAGAGCTTCTAGAGGAAGAACTGAATTATCTTCAAGTTACCTTGAGATCGAATGGATACAGTGTACCCGAGATCATTGAGGCCATGAAACTGAAAAGGACCTCGGTGCAAAACGCGGAGGAAGGTCACATGGTAGCAGGTTTCAATTACAAAAATAATATCCAAACGGTTTCCAAAACCACCAAGAAGGTACAACAGAGTCTCAGGTCGGTTAAAGACAAGAGAGGCCCACTATCGGCAGCAGGGGAATATTGCATACCTTGTGGGAAGATATACATCGGAACCACCAGAAGATCCATGAGAAGAAGGCTGAAAGAGCAAAAAAAATAAAAAAAAACTGCAGATTAGGTCAAAATAAAAAGTCGGTTGTGGCGGAGCGCGCACTGAGTGAAGGAAACCATAAGATTCTTTTTGAAAACACGAAACTCATTGCCATCAACCAGGGATACTATATCCAACTGGTACGGGAGGCAATAGAGTTTAATATACACACGAATAATTTCAACGAAGAAGAAGCTGTGAACCTCAACGAAATATGGAAGACAATTCTGAGGAGTACAAGAATAAAAAACATCATGAGGTAGAAAAGGGTCGGTCAATGTGATTGACAATTCAGGTAGAGGTATCAGCACACCAAACTACCTGACGCAACATTAACACGTTTTACGCAGCAGTAATATCCAGTCATCGGAGATAACTCAGGATGTATGAATTTCTAAAGGAGGGCTTGGAAATTTCGGTTGATATGCGGATTTTTTTGGAACGTGAAAAAAATTGAAACCCTCGAAATTGATATCGAAGATCTGAAGAAGAGAGCACGAAGGAAATTTTCATATTTGGCATGAATATTTTGAAAGAGACAAATCTGCTACTTGAGCCCTCAATGATCTCCTTGGCATCAATCTGGTTAAACAAGATAGCAACTACATATATCAAATCGAAAAAACTTTTGTAAATCTCCTTTTGTTCTTAAATTTGTTTCGTATCTGATAAAACAAAATGTATCCTGACACATAACGAAAACCGGAAAGTACTGAAGTCGCTATAGCCAATTACGCATCCTATAATCAGAAACAAAGACAGAAAGTCTTAGTTCACCACCTCGAAACTTCAAAACAGCAGACTTAGGTATACACCCAAGAACTGAAGGTGAACAACCATAAACGACGTGTGTTCGCTGAATGAGCTCTGAAGCAGTTGGCAATGGAAAAATCATCTTTTGCGATGATGACCATTTTCGGATGAATGGATACGTGAGCAAACGAAATTGTTGAATTTGGGACGAAACCAATCCACATGAAATAAGGTGATGTGAACTAGACACCAAAATCGTGTGATTTGACCCCGTTAGATTTTTAATTGTGTGGGTTTCCTAAGTCGCAGGTGTATGCGAATGAGCCACAGAGCACACCGGTCGTCAAAGCCAAGAAAACCCGTGCCATCGGTCAAATTCAAAGTAATTGAAAATTGGACGTTCTGGATGTACTCCATCCAGAAGACATTTGAACGATGTTATATTCCACATATAATGGCATCATTAGGTCTTCCAAACGGATAAGAATTTAAATAATATCTCACATACACACTTTCTTTTATTTAAATTTAAACATAGGAAGCGCTCAATGAAAGAACCTTTATGAATACATGTAATTAGTATCGATTTTAGAGTTTTTTTCGTATTTTCATTCAGGTTTCTGGAAATGATCACAAAGTTATTTTTTTAGGTTCTAATCTTGTATCGCAGGTTCCTCAGAAAGACCAGTCTTCACTGATCTATCATAATAGAGCTAGAGCTATCAATGTATTACATTTTGTTTCATGTTGAACATATGAGTGATTATTAAATTCATTATTATCATCACTAATCTAATATATTTTGAGCTAGAATTTTATTGAAACAGAAATTACTTTTTCACTATCGAATGATAACAATACTATACCTCCCATACTAAAGATGCTTTTTTGACTATAGTTGGCGTAACTTTGATCACATGCCCCATGGTAACGTTGTTACAATCGTAAATGAAGATTTCCCCCACTGTGTAATCTTCATGCAATCTCACTTCAAAAACGTTATACGAATATGTTAAACAATTGATCACATCGAAGCTTTCGGAATTGGCTTGCGGAAGATGGAAAATGGTTACTCGATAGCCTTCATCGGTTACTTTTGGCAGAGATATCCAAAACCTGTAAATTGTAGAGAATAAATATAAAATATCGTTATTCGACACTAAGGAATTGTGAACTAGATCTCAATGCAATTCAATAACGCAATTCAATAATGGTGATCTCATGAAAGAGAGAATGAAAGTTAATGTTTGAAAGTGGTTGACAATGTTTCACTGTGAATTTCATCAGTTCGGACTTCCATTGTCTAATTTGTTTCCATTATGATTCGAAATCGAGTTACTTCACGACTTTTCGTTTGTTAGTTTCACAAACATCTTCGTGTGATGACTGGACTATATCTCCGAAAGAAGACTATAGGTCATTAGAGCGCTTTCAGAAGTTTGAGAGGAAGTTCAAAGATGCTGTATATATGTTGTCCAATGACACATTTAGTCAATCTAGCGTAGAGATACGCAACACATGAAAATTTATAATCAAGCGAAAAATGGTCAACTCTCGCTTAACCGGTGAAGCGGAGAGACGAAAGAGGAGATAGATGAAAGCGCTCGAATGACCTATAAATAGTCACCTCTCGGAGGAATTGTCATCACCCGAAAACGATTGTGGACATTAACAATCGAAACGTCGTGAATTTACTTGATTTCGAATCACAATAGAATCATATAAAACTATGGGAGTCCGAACTGATGAAATTCACAGTGAAAGTTGATATTCATCTCAAATATACAGTGGGACGTAAATGGTCCCCTTCCAGGGAGCTCCGTCACGCTGGAACCTGCTTTGAAAAAAATCTACCTTTTTTTTAGGCTACCTACAAACGATATTATTAAATGAAGTAACGTTCATTTTTTTGTAGTCTTATCAATTACTGAGAAAGCACTATTGATATTGTCCAAACTACGAAATACAATATTAATTTATTTTATATTCTTTTCAAGTACCTATAGCAAAAATACTACGATAACAAGACTTCAAATCATAAAATTACAATTGTTCCCAAACTACAAACGATGGAGTTGATTGTAGCTGAAATTAGATGTTTGTAGTTACCATTGAGTACATCAAAAATGAATGAAATAAATTCAAGTATTTTTCAACTAAACTAACCTAACATAACCTATCCTAAACAACATATCTTACCTGAAATCTGAAGTAAAAACTAACTTATTTTAGAATGCTTTATTTGGAAAAAAGCATCTACCCTCAACTTCTAACCTGACTTCCGAATTCAAAATCGAACTCATGTTAGTATGTTGGAAATAATTCTCAATCCTAAACATCTAACATGAGTTCGTTTTTGAATTCAGAAGTCAGGTTAGATGTTGAAGGTTGATGCTTTTTTCCAAAAAAAGCATTCTAATATACGTTAGTTTTCACTTCAGATTTCAGGTTACATATGTTGGTTAGGATAGGTTATGCTAGGCTAGCGCAGTAGAAAAATACTCGATTTTATTTCATTCATTTTTGATGTGTTTAATGTGTGACTACAAACATCTAATTTCAGATACAATCAACCCCATCGTTTGTAGTTTGAGGACAATTGTTATTTTATGATTTGAAGTCTTGTTATGGTAGCTTTTTTGCTATACTTCAAGAGAATATAAAATATAGTAATATTTTGTTGTTACCTACTACAATGAACATTATTACTCGTCCTTCGTTGTTAGAATGATATCAATAGTGCTTTATCGGTAACTGATCGGTAACTACAGAAAAATGAATATCACCACATTTATTAGTATCGTTTGTATGTAAAGTAGGCTAAAAAAAAGTAGATTTTTGTCAAAGCGGGTTCCAGCGTGACGTATCTTCTCCAGTTGCCAAGATATCAGGGCCGAATAGAATGTGTAAGGAATTTATTCATTTCCAGTATTTTCTGATGAAGAAAGTCATTGGTTTGACATTACTCATCGCGGAGAAGGCGTTATCATTTTTTCTAAACCAGGATTCTTGAGACCCTTCGCTTGAGAGCGATTTCAATTCTCCATAAAACGACCTTTTGATTTCAATTCTTCATAAAACGACCTTTTTAATTCGAAGAGTTACTTTGCAATCGAAAGAGGATTGAATCGACTCCAAAGTTAGTGATCACAGGTTACTCAGGGTTTGTGATATGCGAGAGAAATAAATTATCCACTTGTTCAACCTATTCATTTTGTAAAAAAAATTCATATTGAATATTGGATGAAGAAAATGATTTCGTCTAACTTCCACCGAGATGTTTACTTGTTAAGACCAGTTTCGGTTTATTGAACCATTTTTGAGTAAACAGAGGTATTTTGACAAAGAAATCCTTGAATATACAATGATAAAGTTGATGTCATTTAGGTACCTGAAATGACAGAAATGTTACCTGAATCATCAATACCTTGTCTGAGATACCAAAACAATAATTATATTTAACTTCTATAATACATCAAAATAACTGACTATTGAACCGAAAACACTTATGGATTGTTCCAAATATCAGCAAATCCTAAATTAGGGTTTTGAAATTGGGGTTTTTATACAATTTATTTATTTTCAAAGATTCCAACAAATTCCTCTTCCTTCTCTCAATGCACTCATGGAAAATTTTAATGTTTTTTTTATTTATTGTGTGGTCTGTTTCTTGTAGATGTCCCCAAATATATGATTTTTTATCTGATAACACATGCTCACGGTAACTTATGTTGAAATTTTTGCCTGTCTGGTATGTATGAGCTGCTGTCACCATATTCTAGTTCACATATGCCCGATTTTTCCACTTATCCCTTCTGGGTTTTGCGTTAAGTAAAAGAAGATACCGTAATGATACGAAATTGATAGGGCGATTATGGGTCGATTGAAGTATTGCTAGAGTTATGATTTCCGTATTGATGATATTCAAATTATGATTCAGTAACTGTGAAAGATTTTCGTGGAAATGATATTTACTCAACTTTCTCAATTTTTTCAAATTTTAGTTTTTTGGCCTTCTTCAGCTTATTAGAATATGATGTCATTAAGCGATTTTTGGCCGATTTTTCTCTATAAATTCAAATTTAACAAAATCTCTGCCGGAACAGTCCGAAAAATCAACTATGCATTTGAATATTACTGGAGTTTTTTTCCCCAACACCAAATCGTTATTTTTAACACCTCGACATGTGTTTCGATCACCAAGTGATCATCTTCAAAGAGGAAGAATAAAACTTATTTTTGAAAAATTACATTTTTAAATAGTTTGTTATGATTCCGAATCGAATGAGCTCTCGCTCATATTTTTAGGATCTTCATCTCTATTTTTCATGTTTTTGATTAGACTATTACTGGAGGACAGTATCTGAATAAATTCTCCTGTCGTAAACCGAAACCCTCCACACACGGGGCAAGGTTTTAAAGCGGAAGATAATCAAACTACACAAGCAATATGAGCATAATATTCGACTTGATTTCGTCTAAGAAAGTTCAACGATTATTTTTCCTCATTTTTCGTTGAAAAAACTATTCAGAAGATGAAGAACCATTCAAGAGATGAAGAACAACTGAAGTGAAATATATCTGGTGAATAACACCAAAAAAGTGCGCGAATGAACTCACACCAGTATTTTTCAGACTTTTCAACCTGTCTTACAAAAAAGAGGTTTTTTTCTTGTTCGAAGATTGCTCATTTCCAAGAAGGGCAAGTAAAATTTCCCAAATAACCGTAGACCAGTCGCTTTGCTATCAGTGAAATTATAAATCATTGAGAAAGCCGTAAATCACCATATCCATAAATATTTGGAAGGCTTAAACATCTTGAGCGATCATGAATATGGCTTTCGGAAACAAAGATTAACAGGCGACCTTCTATCGTATGTCACCCATATTTGGAATAACGCAATCAAGAAACATGAAGAGTCGAGAGCCGCTGCGCTTGATATTTCCGAGGCCTCTGACCGTGAGTGGAAATAAAGGTTTGCTGGCTTGCTATGGCTTGTTGGATCATTTTTGTATATAGCTCTTCAGCTTCTTGAAATAACGTTTCCTGCAAGTGGTCGTCGATGGATATCTTTCGAATATTTTCACCATAAGTGCTGGTGTTCCCCAGGAAACCATATTATCTCCAACATTCATAGATATTTTTCGAATACCTATACCGTCAGTGCTAGTGTTCCTCAGGAATCCATATTGTCAAAAATTTTCATTTCATTGTATATCAACGACTCATTGAGAAAAACCCAGAATCCAATATATTGCTTTGCTGACAACAGCACACTTGTCTCGTTATTTCATTTGGATTCCAGAACTTCGGCTGCAGATGCACATCTTCATCGGCAGCAGGAGGTTGCATATTTCAATAAGGATCTAGAATTGATTTCTAATTGAGAAATCGGTTTTCTCCAGAGAGATAGATGACTCCGAACCAGATACACTGATGTCAGGTCAGACAATTGCGCTCTCTGTTTCGATAAGTTTGTTGGGTGTTAAATAGGACACCAATATGTCGTGGCACAATCATGTCGCTGAAATTGCAAAGGTTCCTTCTCGAAAGCTCGGAAACCTGTTCCAAATCGGAAAACTGTACATACCTCCAAAACTTTTGATGCTTTTTAAAGCTCAGAGCAGACCTTTTCTGGAGTAATGTTCAAATGTATGGAGGTCCGCCCCTCATGATGCCCAGAAACTGCTGGATTCCATCCTGAAAAGAGACATACGCCTGACAGGAGACGCGAACGTCACTTGCAACCTTGATAGTCTGGAACATCGAAGAAGGGTTGGAGATTTGTCTCTCTTCCATAGATACTTTCATGAGAAGTGTTCAGGTGATGTGGCACATTTGATTCCACCAAGAGCGGTACATATCAGAAATACGCAACGGACTGTTGCTGCTCATAGTTTTGAGCTTCAACTCAGTACACTTCGAACTCCACTGTTCAAGAACTCTTCCATTTGGAGAACTGCGTTTTTGTGGAATGAAGTTGCCGAAAATGTTTTTCCAAATGGATTTGATCTCTAGCGATTCAAATCCAATGTATATCACAGTTTTTGCACAGGCACCGCCTCAAGGCTTTTCCTGTAGTGCTTGTGTTTTGTCCTTGATAAATAGTTTAAAAAAAGTTTCACCAAAATTTAATGTTTCATCTGTTCACCCAATGAGTTAGTGAGTAAACACGGCACTTCCGTTCGAGCAAGAATAATTGGTCTTCAGAATGGAATGGTGAGATTCCATCAATTATTGCTGAAAACTTCGTCCATCAAAATAACAACGATGCGTTAGTTGAAAATATACACTGAAAATCCATTTGAGAATACACTGTTATTAAGAATAATTATAAAAAAACTTGAAACAAAAAACATCAAATGATGATTGCTTGAATTTTTTATATATCATAAGGTGATAAAAAAAACATTCTCAGCGACATTCTGTTCGCTTCACCATCAAACCAGTTTTTAACGACGACGACGACGACTTTGGCAAGAATCGTGTGAATCTGTAATAACAACAAGTACACAAATCAGTCGTTGCAACCGTCATATTCGATGCAACCGTCATAAAATTTCTTTCGCTTCGAATCTTTCTAACTTCGAGTTCAAATCTCTCTCAGTTGGAAACCATCTTGCCCAGTGAAATTTACCTAATTCATTTACATGGAAAGTGGAACATAGGCGAGAAAGTTTCGACCTCGAATCTCTCCTGATTCAATACCTTATTGTCCCGTTAGTGAAGGATCTTGAGTTTTCGGTGTATTGAATGTTTTTCGTTGAACTCTATGATTATTTATAGTATGAAAAGTTCTCCTGTATCGCTATTTTTTCTATGAAATCATGTATATTTTCATGAATATAAAAAACAATTGTGAACTTGAAGGAGAAATGAAAACCAATAGATTTTTCAAGAAATTACATTACAATCACAAATAAATAACATAATTATTGTCGTGGAAGAAACTATAGGCTACTCCATATGAACAGAAGAAAACAATTATCAATATCTCTACTCATTCCATCATTATACTTACATGGTGTCCATTGTATTTTGCATTCGAGATTGAAGAGGATGTTTGTTACGAAAAAATTCTGGTAGTACAGTTCTTATTGTATAATACATGTCAAATTTGTTCTTGACATTTTCAATACTGAACTTATTCATGAACAAAAAGTTCACTATTGTGTTATCATCTGGAAAATAAAATTTGAAATTTCGTGGCGAATAAAACTGGTATGAACATGCAAATTATATCAAATATTCGAAAACATATAACGATTGAGTCAAAGTGAATGAAACATATACGGTATAACATTTATGCTATATATCTACCTATATGTCTGCCTACTCCTCAGGAAGTGCCATGCTGTAAGCGTTTCGTGACCTGACGCCGGGGTCTCAATCCACCTACTGCCAAGCGTCGACGCTTTGAAATAGGAAAATTGAGACCCCGGCGTCAAGTCACAAAACTCTTACCGAGAATTCTACCATAATCCCCTACGAGAATTCTCTTGCTACTGTAGAAACTACATTTCAGCAAGAATTTTCAATGAACGTCTAGGTGGGAAATTTCGGTGATCATCTCATAGGGCCGCATTTGCTTCTCCCAATTTCTAGTAAGACAAAATTTTTAGGTAATGTACGCACCAGCTCATTCCAGTGAAACCGCTCGTGAATATCTTGCTGATACTTCTGCTCATCAGTGAATAGGTCGCGCGGGACCTCAATTATGGCCACCTAGATGTCCAGACTTGAACTCACGGGAATAATTCTCCTGGGGGTATCTTAAATCACTTTTCCATGCGACACCAGTTTTCGATTGAAATGACTTGAGAAATAGAATTATTTATACAGAATACTCATAGAATTTTTCAAACGTGTGCGGCACTCGATGAGGAGGAGACTCGTTGCCTGTATTGCAAGTCAAGGTTCCAATTTTGGGCATATCGTTCCAAATATTATCATTATCACCTACGTTGTTGTCCGAACAAAATACAAATTAAGTAGCAGTTTGAATACGTATTCCATCTACTATCCAAACATATTTCAATTTCAAAGTTTGATCAAGTGGCGACGGATATCAAAACACATTTTTCAACTATTTGAAATAATATCAAACGTAGCAAAAACACTGGCGTACAATGACGTCACCAAAGAAATAAACCAAGAAACCCTCCGTGACGCCACTGGAATTACAATTCCATATATAATTTCATGAAAAGAAGCTCCTTATTTCTCATGAGAAACATATGTAGTGCAGTCAATAAATAATCGATAACTGTCAGTTATTGATGAAAAACAATATTTTTAGTAACACTGTGACACTATCACTCGGAAACGAAGAAAGTTTGGAAACACGTTTATAAGAACTTTTTTTCATAGATTATGACCAACAATGACCACCTGGAATCAAAGGCATCATTTAAGATACGCTAATTCCCCAAATCAGGCATGAAAAATTCTATTATTGGTTAGGAAAACTAGTTGAATGATCACCTGGTGTTTCCGGAAAGTGTGGTTGCGTTTGAATCCATTCTTTTACTATATGAATGTCTTTTTTCAAATCCTGTATAGTTCTACCATTCTTTTTCAAGCCTTTTTCCAAAACGATAGGTAAGTCTTCAAAGTAATCGGAAGTGGTATCCATGTCAGATGCGTCTATTGATGTCACCTGTGAAATCATAATACTTCAGTAACACAAAATATCAATTGTTGAAGTAATATTCGCCAAGTCATTTGGCGAATCATCAGGGATCCCATATGGGATCACTGCTGTTCAACTTATTTGTATCGGACATAGAGATTGTTTTCCAATATTAAGAATTTCTTATGTTTGCTGATGATCTCAAACTTTATCGAGCAATTACTTGCCGCGAGGATGCTGAATTAGTTCAAAAAGACCTCGAAGCCTTTTCCATGTGGAGTAGAAATAAATTGTAAGACGTAAACATTGATAAGTGTCAAATCATTACGTTCGCTAAAATTAGAAGTCCAATATTCTTA